GTTATTTCGCATCAATTCCTATTTAATTTAAATCGCTTTATGGAGTTATACTACTCATAGAACTAAGAAGTAATACGGATGTTGTTAGCGAACAATTGTATCGATTTCTTAACGCAAGAGTTATAAAATTCTAACGACCCTCAACTTACGAATTTCATAAGCAGATAATTTAACACGATAATTACATCTTCCTACAAGAAACTTTCATATTTTTAGTTCATTGATATTGCTTAATCTGTCTGTTACGCGCATATACACGTTAGTGTCTCCCTGCGATGACGATAGCTAACGATTGAGAATGACCAGCTACAGAAACATATGGGGAGAGAGAGAGTACACAATACCATGCTTTTACCACGAGAGTTGTAAGATGTAGCCTCTACTCGCCAGAAATTATATTCTGGCATAACGTAGTCTGTTCCGTGTGGGAAGTACGCTACTCCGACTCACCCTGGTTTGCGAGAGAGTCGATAAGAGTTCTAACGCTGTCGGAGAGGGGGAGCGTGGACGCCAGCGCGTCAGCGCCAATAACACAGTCCCACAGCCTGTCTCGTGACATCCACAGGAGATTTTTAATTCCTATATACTGTTATATATCAATTACGTGAGTTATTCAGAATATGACACTATAATTTAATGTTGGACCCCGTTTCATATACTTCAGAGTTTCTTAATCATATCTTATATTTCACAAATTCCATGTGAACAAACATTATCCACAACAATAACATATTTATAACTGTCGATAATCTTTAACCATTAAATCTAAAACTTAATCTTTTCCAAATAATAAGATGAAATTTTCTTATGATTATATTTTACTATCTCTAAATATAAAGACGGAGTGAGTGAATAGACCCTACCCCCTTGCCTTTTAAAACCCTTTGGGTAGTTCTAATGCTTCGGGTAATTTTTCCCTCCCCATTTTAAAATGCAACGCCTACTCTTCCAGTTCTGGGTACATTTGTTGGTAACTAAATTAGTCATTTTTGTTTGCACATTCAGTCTTTTCATTGTTGGCCAAATTTATATCTTGGAACACTGTCATAGGATCGCGTTTTCAGTCAATAAATGTCATATATGTATTCTATATTGTCATTCTATTTTTCTATTACCCTTATCTGCTATTAAAATCCCGCAATTAATATTTCATTTCATACGGATACTCGCGCTATAGTTTTCGCTGAGGTTGAAATAACTTATTCTTTTCAATCTACAAGTGGCATTATTATTTACGGCATATACCCTAAAGATTTTTATCTTATGACGAAAAACGTTCATGTCATTCTTACTCATCTTTCATTAATATTCTCTACTGTTTAATGAATTTGTCCTTTTACGTTCTAATAAAGGAAAAGAGACTCCACTTCTAGCTCTAAATCTTGGGTACATCACTGGGGCGAAATATGAAGATATTCATTCAAATTTCTTCCCTGTCACTTTTTTCTTTCGTTTCCGTAAGTATAATTATGTCAGGTTCATTTTTTCAATTTCTGAGATGACGCTTCCTCTGCTTTGTTCGTAGGCCTTGTATACTTCCATGTTTCCAATTTCATTGTCCTTTTCGTAGCGTTTGGTCGTAAATTTAATTTTGGTCCGGTTCGAGAGCAATATTTTAAATCGTTTGAACTGAAGTTTTTTTTAGGGAGCGGGATGTTAGCCT